TAGGGAAGTAATACAGATGGACCTAGAAATCTGAACTCAGTGCTGATAGAAGTTAGACTGGGGGCTGGGAAGGTAGCTGGGAAGGTAGCTCAGTGGTAGAGTGCTTGCCTCGCATGCATGAGGCCCTGGGTTTGATTCCTCAGTACCACATAAACAGAAAAAGCTGGAAGTGGCACTGCGGCTCAAGTGGTAGTGCGCTAGCCTTGAACTGAAGAGTTGAGGGACAGTGCACAGGACCAAGCTATGGCAAAAGAGGCATAGACTATCTGCATTGTAAAGAAGACAGAGGGGGAAGATATGCTAAGGATGCCCCGTTTCTTCTGTATTTATTGGTTTTCTTGTTTTGCCAACTTAGGGCTTGAACTCAGGGCCTAAGTACTGTCCCTGAGCTGCTAAAAGCTAGCACTCTACCCCTTGAGCCACAGTGCCACTTTTGGCTTTTTTTGTTTATGTGGCTTTTTTGTTTTGTTTCACGTTTTTGTTTCTACCACTAAGCCGCATTCCCAGCCCTTCTGTATTTAATTACTTAGGTCATGAGAAATGAATGAGAGGTGAGGAGAAACTAGTAATGTTAAGTTTAGCTGAAGTCTTCCCTATGGATAGAATAGATAAGAATAGAGAACTTGTGGTAGAGCGATTGCCTTGCATGCATGAGGCCCTGGATTCGATTCCTCAGCACCACATAAGCAAAAAGAAAAAAGCCGGAAGTAGCGCTGTGGCTCAAGTGGTAGAGTACTAGCCTTGAGCTGAAGAGCTGAGGGACAGCGCCCAGGCCCAGAGTTCAGGCCCCACAACCAGACCCAAAAGCAAACCAAAAAAAAAAAAAGAATAGAGAAATTGTAATCTCTCCGGAATTTTTCTCTTTTCTTCATTCCTTCTTTCCTTCCTTCCTTGCTTCCTTCTTTCCTTCCTTCTTTCCTTCCTTCTCTTCCTCCTTCCCTGCTTCCCTATCTCTCTTCCCCACCTCCCATCTCTCTTTCTTTCTTGTGATGGTCTTGGGCTTGAACTCAAGGCCTGGGCACTATCTCTGAGCTTTTTTGCTCGAGGTTGGCACACTACCACTTGAGCCATAGCTGCACTTCCAATTTGGGGGTGGGTTAACTGGAAATAAGAATGTCATGGACTTTGCTGCCCTGGATGGCTTTGAACAATGATCCTCAGATCTCAGCCTCCTGAGTAACTAGGATTACAGGTGTGAGCCACCGGCACCTAGTAAGACTAAGGATCTTTGTAGCATATGTTTTTTTTTCCTTTCCTTTCCCAGAGATTGTACACCCCACATACCTTGTAGTACTACTGAAAAGACAGTCTCAAATGTGAACACTCTGAAGGATCGTCACCCTCCTCGTGACTCGTGGGCGCGCATGCACATTGCATCCTTGCAGTATGCAGCAGGAGACATTACTCGAAAAGGGAGAAAAAAAGACAAAGCTCGAGTGAGTGAACTGCTCCAAGGCCTTGCATTTTCTGATGACTCAGAGGTAGAGGAAGAAATTGAGCCTGAGTTGCAGCCTTTACAGAAGAAGCTAAAGGTGTCAAGTGTCTCAGAGAAAAGCTGGACTAAAAGAGACCTAAAATCCAACTTCCCAAGCTGGTCAGCACTGGACTCTGGACTCTTGAACCTCAAGAGTGAGAAATTGAACCCAGTAGAACTCTTTGAATTGTTTTTTGATGATGAAACATTCAACTTGATTGTCAATGAAACTAACAATTACGCTTCTCAGAAAAATGTCAACTTGGAAGTCACAGTTCAGGAAATGCGGTGTGTGTTTGGTGTCCTGCTTTGGAGTGGATTTGTAAGGCGCCCCAGAAGGGGACTGTATTGGGAAATTTCTGATGCTGACCAGAACCTGGTTAGAGATGCAATTAGAAGGGAGAGATTTGAACTGATCTTCTCATACCTGCATTTTGCAGATAATAGTCACCTAGACCAAAAAGATAAGTTTTCTAAATTGAGGCCTCTCATAAAACAAATGAATAAAAATTTCCTCTTGTATGCTCCCCTAGAAGAATACTATTGCTTTGACAAATCAATGTGTGAATGCTTTGATAGTGACCAATTCCTGAATGGAAAGCCTCTTAGAATTGGCTACAAAATTTGGTGTGGTACAACCACCCAGGGTTATCTGGTTTGGTTTGAGCCCTATCAAGAAGAATCAACTATGGAGACAGATAAGGATCTTGACCTTGGGCTTGGTGGAAATCTAGTCATGAACTTTGCTGATGTTCTTTTAGAGAGAGGTCAATATCCCTATCATTTGTGTTTTGATAGCTTCTTTACCAGTGTCAAATTGATGTCAGCTTTGAAAAAGAAAGGGGTGAGGGCAACAGGATCCATTCGTGAGAACAGGACTGAAAAATGCCCACTTATGAATGCAGAACATATGAAAAAAATGAAGAGGGGGTATTTTGATTTCCGAGTGGAAGAAAGTGATGAGATAATTTTGTGTCGTTGGCATGGTGATGGCATTATCAGTCTGTGCTCAAATGCTGTAGGCATAGAACCAGTCAATGAGATAAGTTGTTTCGCAGATGGTGAAGAGATCCCTCAGGTAAGTCAACCATCCATAGTGAAATTATATGAGGAATGCAGGAAAGGTGTAGGTAAAATGGATCAAATTATTTCTAAGTACAGAGTGAGGTTGAGAAGCAAGAAATGGTATTCAATATTGGTGAGCTATATGGTTGATGTAGCTATGAATAATGCATGGCAGCTGCATAGAATCTGTAACCCAGGCTCCTCTTTAGACCTCTTGGATTTTCGGAGATGTGTTGCACATTTCTACTTGGGACACAATATTAATCTGTCCAATTAAGGCAGATGAAAATGAACAAAGTACAAGGAGTAGCAAGACACAGAAAATTTGTAACTACTATTAGATTGCACCCTACCAAAGAAATCTGATATAGACAGTACAATTATTATATAACTAGTATTTTTTTGCAATCCTCATAGTGCTTTATTTACAGATAGCATGAAATACATACACATTGTTAAAGGCCTTTAATAAATTAGCTTGAGAATAGATTATATGACCTTCGATCATAACTGGTATTTTTTAAATCAAAAATGGAATTTCAAAGACTTATAACAGATAACATTAAAAACTACTTGAAAATATCGAACTCCAGTGTTACACCTTTCTCTATGTCTAATTTCATCTCAGATGTGAGAAAACAAATTGGGTGGGAAGGGGAAGTCTGCACAGGTGCAGTAACAGGAAATTAAGAGGAGAGAGGACTTCATTCTTTTAATGCACAAAATAACTAAACAGGAACAGCTAAGGTAACATTTAAGCTGAGCCCTTAAATGCTAAAGGAGTAAGCCCAGCATTTCTCAACCCCTTGAGGAATGAGAAGAGCACTGGAAACTATTCAAAGGCCCTGACTCTGGGGCTACTATGGCCAAAGAAGTAAAAGCATGCCATAATGTCAGTGTTTCCCAAATCCTATTCCAGAGCCACTGAAAAGGCACCTTAAAGTCTCCAGTGATGGAAAACAGCTGGAACTAGAAACAATCATCTTCTTGGGGGGGGCGGTCGTGGGGCTTGAATTCTGGGCCTGGGCACTGTCCCTCAGCTCTTCAGCTCAAGGCGGGCACTTACCACTTGAGCCACGGTGCCGTTTCATGTCTTCTGGTGGTTAATTGTAGAGTCTCATGGACTTTCCTGCCTGGGCTGGTTCGAAATTCGATCCTCAGATCTCAGCCTCCTGAGTAGCTAGGATTACAAGGGTGAGCCACCTGCACCCAGCTCATCTCCTTGACAGCCACATTCTGAAAAATTTATCAGAACTTCCCCTACTGCCAACCTCCTGGAATAATTTCCCCCTCCCCTAAGGGCCTAAAGGCCTAGAGTTGAAGCATCTGTTGACACAGATGCTGTTAAAACTCACCCCTGCCTCCATTTTTGCACAGAGCTCCTCCCCCGTTTCCATCCTGCCAATGCTCCTCCCCCTTCACAATATACAAGTCACTCCTGACCTCTTTTCTGCCTAATAAAAAGGGACCCTAGTTGTAAAGGTGGCATTTTCTCTTCAGCCAACTGAAGGAGACTTGGTTGTCCTTCTCAGTTTTTCATCCCGAGTATAACTTGTTGGCTTGTTGAATTCAACTTCCTGCTCTTTTCCTTTACTCATACTCCCAATAATCAAAATGTTTGCTTACATCCAATCTTTGTCCCAAACCTGTAGTAACCTTGAAATCCAGGAACAAACCCTCTCAGATTACTCCATAATATCAACCCTAACCAGAAGTCATTCTGTTACCAATCAGCTGGATAGAAATTGTGAGTAGGCCAGGATGCAGCTCTTCTAGTGTTAAGTTTCTGATGTCAAAATTGTTTATCCTTAATGAGAGAAGTTTTATAATGTTTCAGTTCAGGCATTTTTTGAATTTCTTTGAGCTCGTAATTGTCTTTTTAAAATTGTTTCTAACTTGAGCTGTGTGGAAATGTGATTGTGAAAATTATTTAAAATGCAACAACTTTGCTAACCTGTTATCATAAACTGGCCAGTAGATTACCTTGGATTTTCTATGTAAATCCCTGAGCATGCTACTAAAATTAGTTACAAATACATAATTAAAACTAAGTAATGCAATCAGCTCTGTAAATTTAAGAAGTGCTAAGCACTTAGTGACCCACAACCAAGTATCATGAGTTTGTTCACTTTCTTTGCTATCTTTCGCAAAGATAGCAAACCACATATAGCTTAACACCTTACTTTTATCTCTTTCTTATATCAATCACTGGGGTAAATTTTTGTTTTAATGTCTCTTTTTTAATAGTAAGAGGGCGGGGAGGAGAGGAGACCCAGAGGCCGCAAACGAACTAGTATCCTCCCAGGAAGGCAGCTAAAGAGGCCGGAAATGACCCCACGCCCCTCCCTGCGGAGGGTTTGCTAGTTCCGGACACTTCCGTCGAGTGTGGGCTGAATGGGAGACGCTTTCCGGTGTGTGTGTGTGTGTGTGTAGGTCTCCTCCGGTGGCTCTCCACCTGCCGATGCTGCGGTTCTTTTGTTCCGGGGTAGGGTTGCATTTGCGGGCGTACGCGTGTGGAACGTTTTCCTTCCCGGCCCCTGCGCCCAGCCGGAGGACCGAGACCCCCTGGGAGAGGCGCGGCAGGGCGGGCCGGTCGCGGCGTAGCTGTGGTTTGGGCCCACCCTGGGCGCCCGTGGCGAGGGTCGTTTCCGGGTGTCTGGGGCCGTCACTCAGTTGGTGTTGGGACTCTTGGGTCACATACACGAACCTTGAACATGGGAGCGGTTTTAGTTTTGTCCTTCCTGGAGACAAGGTTAGTTCCAGGGTCTTCAATGGATTCTGTTTGTCCTGGACCAGAACCCGAACCTTGAAGTCGGGTTGCTTGATTGAAATGTAGCTTCCACCATGACTATCTCCTGTATGACTTTTTTTTTTGGCCAGTATTCTCTATGCCTTATTTGATCGGCTTTGTAAAACGGGGATAATGATGTCACTTTAAGTCACTGGGGTCTTTGTGAGCAGATGCTTTGTGTGTCAGGTGCTTAAAATAGCACCGGCTACAGAGTAAGCGCAGCTAAAAATGTGCTATGATTTCTATTTTTTTTGAAGGTGAACTGTGGTAGCATATTATTTTCAGTGAGTAGGATTGGTAACTGGATATTGTTCTTTTTTTCTTAATTTTAGTATCATCCACCGAGTTTTTTTTTTTTTTTGTAATGGATTTCTGTATTTTAGGAGGGGAAAAAAATAAGATATTCTAAAGAGCAGCTTATCCCAAAGTGTCTCATGATGTTCAAATTCATAATGGTTTTTAAAGGTGTAAAGATACTTTTTCTTTGGCTTGAGACTTAAGAGGAGCAAGAGAGGTTTCCAACAATGAGGAAGGACTAGTATAAGTAGAAATCACTGCTTAGAAATCCTGCTCTGTGCTGAGGATCTGGAGGTTTTGTAAGCCTACCAGTGGGACCATATATATTGCATAGATGAGTTCACACTACCTCCCCCCTACACTCCACTGTAACAATACTGTGTCATTTTCTTCCCTTGCTAGTGGCTCACATCTGTAATCCTAGCTACTCAGGAGGCTGAGATCTGAGGATAGAGGTTCAAAGACAGCCCAGGCAAGAAAGTCCATGAAACTCTTATCTCCAAGTAACCACCAGAAAACTGGAAGTGGAGCTGTGACTCAAAGTGGTAGAACACTAGCCTTGAGCAAAAGAAGTTGAGGGACAGCACCCAGGCCCTGAGTTCAAGCCTCATGACCACAAAAAAATAAATAATAATTGTAACTTTCTTCTGTGCATTAGAAGCTTTTATTTTATTACCTTCAATTTATTTACTTATTTGAGAATATTTCCTGTTAGTAAAGTCTCTTAATCCCATACCTTTTGATGCTGCTCAGTTGGGCTCAGGACCCAAATGTGACTGGTGGTGAAACCTGGAGTCTGGGGTACAGCTGGGTAGGATATATGAGACTTTTCTTTTTTTCAATTTTTTATTGTTATTATAAAGGTGATGTACAGAAGGGGTACAGTAACATATGTCAGGCAAACAGCCTTACTTTTCCTTCCACAGCTTCCCTCCTTCTGCATATGTGAACACCCTCCTTACTCCCCCTTAGACTTCTGATTTACTCTGGGCTAGGCTCTGGTCATTTCTCTTACCTCCCTTGGCCCCACATACATGCTTTGTACTGTATTACGTAGAATGGAATGAAAGTAGGAATTCGTTTGATTTTTGGGAAATTCAAACATAAATGTAGAGAAAAAATTAGTCAATCCAAATAATGTGTCCATAACTCACCTTCCACACCATCATCTTTTGGTCATATGTATCCTTTTTCTGTCCCTGTCCCTGCTTCCTTTCCCCACCCCCCTCTCTCTATCTCTGTCTCTCTCTTTCCTTTAGTTTCATTTGGGGCATATCAAATTGAATTTGTTTGTAAGATTTCCAGGTAGAACTGTCTGGGAAGGAGCTCAGGATAGGGATCAAGAATATTTAGCTTAGAAATAAAGAGTTAAAGTCTTACAAGTGATTCAAAGATGTGGAAAGAGAAAGAGTTAAAGTCTTACAAGTGATTCAAAGATGTGGAAAGCTTAGAAATAAAGAGTTAAAGTCTTACAAGTGATTCAAAGATGTGGTCAAGAGAAGAATTCCAAGGCCCACTCTTACCTAAAACAAGAAAGGCCAATCGATTATACACTTGGCTGACATTAATATAGTACTTACCACATGCTAGGCATTGGAGAGTGAGGTCCTTGAATCTAGGGAATAGTGAGTTTTGGAAGGAGGACAGGCAACACGGAACTGCTTACCTGAGAACACAGTAACTCAAAGAAGTATCTCTACACTTCTGCAAGGGCAGCCTTTGTGACCTTCCTGTGGTCTGTTGTCTAGGATATGTTGAAGGTTTAGTGGTGAAAACTGGCCAGAGCCTGAAGGAATGTTGTTTCAAAAAGTTGGCTCTGTCTTGAGTGGCAGATAGAAGGGTGGCAAAGACAGAGGCAGGCAGCCCCCTCAGAAGACAAAGCAGGGTCAGCAAATCACTGAGATGCCTCACTAGAGAGTTTGAGAATAAGCCTAGATCTTATGTTCATTAGTCAAGGATGTAGGGGTGGCAAGACCAATTCTCATGGTCACCTTTGGGGAGCTTATGCAGGGGATCAGGTTTGGGGTGGTGCAAAAAATGAAGCCAGATAGTTGAACATAGGGAAGAAATCTCCATGAATGTTCTATGATGCACTCATTAGAGAGTCCTAGGCATGAGGGAAGACAGCTGTCTGCAAGTTGAATAGCTAACTGATTTGTTTCTGCTTTTCAGATATCTCTTGCCGATGAACAGTGTGCCGTTACAGTAACCTCACAGTACTGCTTTCACTGAAGATGGCTAGAGAGTCGAAGGCAAACACAGCCCTGGATGACCAATCGACAGAGGATCAGATCGGACTTCTGGTCATAAAGGTGGAGGAGGAAGAGGCCTCCACCTTTGCAGAGGAGGTTCATTTGCCAGGCAGCGGTGCCCAGGGGCCTGAGCATTCCCGCCAGTGCTTCCGCGCTTTCCGCTACCCTGAAACAGTGGGCCCCCGAGAGGCGCTGAGCCAGCTGCGGGAGCTCTGCAGACAGTGGCTGCGGCCCGACCTGCGCAGCAAGGAACAGATCCTGGAGCTGCTGGTGCTGGAGCAGTTCCTGACCATCCTGCCAGGGGACCTGCAGGGCTGGGTGCGGGAGCAGCATCCAGAGAGCGGGGAGGAGGTGGTGCTGCTGCTGGAGTATTTGGAGAGGCAGCTGGATGAGCCGCTGCCGCAGGTAGAAAGAACGGGTTTAGTATCTGTGCATCCTGAACTCTCCCAGCGAGGGACATGCCTCTCAGGTCCGGAGTTCTCAGTCTCTTTGTACCCTGAACCTCTTTGGCAGTAAGGCAAACATACCCGGATCTCCTTTCTCAGAACAGGACTTCTAAATACATAAAGGAAAATACCAAAAGATTGCAAAAGAACTCAGACTTGCTGAACTCGTTAGCAAAATACTAAACGAATTTGTGATAAAATTATGCTTTATTAAATTAGTAGGGTAAATAAAATGAGCCTAATGTCAAGGTTAAAAACAGGTCATTTTGGGGTTGGAGGCATGATTTAGTTGGTAGAGCACCAGCCAGTGAGTGAAAACATCAGGTACCATTCCTATTCTTGGACCAGCCCTATTCTTGGCCTTCCAGGTCAAGAGCCAGTTGGGGGACAGGGGCGGTGTAGGTAACTGGTCATTTGAAAGTGATGATAAGCAAATAACTCTAAAGATATTTTCTCGCAATGTACAGGGAAAACATGTATAATGATGCATTGGTTTGTTGCTTCCATTAATAATGGACTAGTTTCTTTGAAACTAGTAAAAATAAAACCTGTTATTTTTCCTATCCACGTTAACAGAGCACTGGTTTTGAACTTGGTTTTTAGTTCCATTTTCTGCCTGTTTTATGAGACTGTTTCTCTCTGTATGGTTCAGTGGTTTTGTACACATTCCCTCAGAGAACTGGGGGCCAGAACCATCTAACTAGTTACCAGGAAACCAATGTTCTTGACTTGGATTCATTTCACAGAACTCTGTAACAATGAGAAAAAATTCTCTCAGTGCTTTGTGCAAAATTCTGATTTACACTATGACATTAATTTGAAACTCAAACTATAAATGTCCAGTAGGAAATCTTAATACTCATGCCAGGCCCTGTTAGGGGATTTTATAGTATGTCATCTTATTGCTCCATCAGCAAAATGAGTACAAGTATTGTATCTCCCTTCTAAAGCAGTTGTTGACAGGCTGGCAGAGTGGCTCAAGTGGTAGAGCACTTGCATACCAAGTATGAGGTCTTAGCTCAAAACCCAGTACTGCCAAAAAGAAAGAGAAAAAGATAGAGAGAAAGGAAGGAAGGAAGTCGTCTTTGTTAGATGAATCCATAGTTGTAGTGTTCTTGAAAGCAGTGCCAGGCTCATAGAAAGTGGTATAGACATGTGTGATGAGTAAATGAAGATAAAAATAAATGATTGACTTCTAGGTTCCAGGTGGTGATCAAGAACAAGAACTACTCTATTCCAAAGTGGTCCCATTCACACCTGCCCAGGTCTCACAAAATAGCCAGTTCCAGCCAATGAAGCCTCTACTTAAGCATGAATCTTTGGAATCCCAAGCCTTACAAGACAGAGGTGAGTGTTATCTTCTAGGCTGTATGGTCTGTCTGTCTGTCTGTCTGTCTGTCTGTCTGTCTGTCTCTCTCTCTCTCTCTCTCTCTCTCTCTCTCTGTCACTGGTGGTGCTGGGGATCAAATCCACACACATCCAACTTTTTTTTTTTTTTGCCAGTCCTGTGGCCTGAACTCAGCCTCGGTTCTCTTCCTCAGCTTCTTTTGCTGAAGGCTAGCACTCCACCACTTGAGCCACAGCACTAGTTCTAGCTTTTTCTATTTATGTGGTACTGAGGAATTGACCCCAGGGATTTATGCATGCTAGGCAAGCACTATTCCACTAAGCCACATTCCCAGCCCACACATCCAACTCTTGCATAGTTTTTATATATCTGCAGAGAATATTAGATCTGTTTAAGCTCTAGAATTGAATCTAGTAGGAATCATGTATTTTGGAAAGGAATCAACCGTATATAAACTTGTTTTTGCAGAAATTTTTCCAGTTTTTAAACTTGTATTTCACAGGCAAGAAGGCTGGATGCTAGGGTAGATCTCACGCAGAGCATCTTTCCTTCTTAGTTTTCCAGGAAGGCTGTGGAGAAGACCCAATGATAACTGCCAGACTCACTCCAGAGTCCCAGGTGAGCTGGAGCCCCTTTCCCTCCTTAATGCCTTTTATTACTGTTGTGCTTCTGCAAAGTTCCTTCGTCTCCATTTTACCTTTATCTCCCAGCTAGGCCCTCTACCTGATATGTAGATGGGATGTGAATATTCTCATCTAGCTCATGGTTGCTTATCACTGTCTAACTTTATATAAAGAGGCTTCTCAGGTTTCATTACTGTCTTGGGGAGTTGTTTGTACTTCCCAGCTTTTCCTTCCTCTGTCTCTTTAGTCAACCACTTCTGTTCCTTTAGGGATTGCTGAAAATGGAAGATACCATGACCCTCTCCCCTGGGTGGGTACAACAGGATTCATCTCAGATGAACCTCAGCAGAGATGAAAGGCGGAACTATGGCAGCCAGGTCTCCCTGGGTAAGACCAATGGGCATTAATTTCTCCTCAGGTTTCTTGGCATCCTCTGTATATTAGAACATACTAACCCCGTGAGATTCTTAGAAACTATTGAGTTCATGATGTTTGGATTCCAAACCACATTTGTGGATTTCCAAACCACTGACTAGCTCCTTAACACTTGTGATCTTGCATTCTTTGACTTGCCAGTGTTGTAGTCAAGGTGAGTGGGATGAATTAGATACAACTGTACTCTCTAGTGTTGTTCCCTTGTGGGAAATGCTCAATAAATGCTGGTTGGAATAGAGTGCTTACCTCCCATTTTGTTTTTGTTTGGGGGTTTGTTGGGTTTGTGTGTGCGTTTTCTAAGACTTTGAGCATTTTTGCTCAAGACTAGCACTTTACCATGTGAGTTAGAGCTGCACTCCTGGCGTTTGTTTTTTTTTTAGTAGTTTATCAGCGATAAAGACTCTCACAGACTTCCTTACCCAGGCTGGCTTTGAACTGTGAACCGCAAATCTCAGCCTCCTGAGATTATAGGCATGAGCTACTGGTGTCAGGCTCTTATCTCCCATTTTGAATAAGACCAAGAACTCAATCCTTGTCACTGGGGGAAAAAAAAAAAGTTTTGTTATAGAGGCTCATGCCTGTGATATTAGCTGCTTGGGAGGCCGAATCAGGAGGACTGCAATTTGAAGCCAGCCTGGACAAAAAAGTTCACAAGACTCCATCTTAACTAATAAAAAGCTAGGTATAGTGTTGTGTGTCTGTCATTCCAACTACATGGGAAGTATAAATAAACGGATTATGATCTAAGTTAGCCCATGGAAAAAAGCAAGATCTGATAACCAATAAAAGCAGGAAGAGGAAGTGGTAGAGTACCTGCTTAACAAGGGAAAGTCCCTGAGTTTAAACTCGAGTTCCTCCTCCACCCCCACCCTCCCTCAAAAAAGATTGCTTTCTTCCTCTTCCTTCCTATATTTTGGCCTGACTGAAGAAAAAGCTTAGGGAACTCTTTTGGAAAGGATGAGACATGGAGTCATAGAGTGTGTGTTTAAAATGACCTTAGACATTGGCTACAGACCCTGGTTTTAGGGGTGAAGGTGCAGAGATATAGAAAAGGTCGCATAGCCACAGTGGAGGCTCCAGCTTCATTTTCTCAGGACCAGTATCTTCTGTATAGAGACAGTGATTCTGCCCAGGGTGCAATCTAAGATAAGCCCTTTACTAACCAGTTTCTGAGTTTCTGATACTTCATAAATCCTCTTACTTGCCCTGTTTACTATCACTTTCTGTACTTAGCCCTTTTAATATCAAATCCTAGGTATATGGCCCATCTCACTATTACTAGAGCTCTCAGGACCATCCCCTTTACCAACCCCTAGCACAGTCCTTGGTTCTTACCATCTTTGCATCTTTCCTTGTACTTTCCCAGTTGTATGTTTCTTCCAATGGCCCAGTTCGCATTCTCAGGTCTCCCCAGCATTCCTGGTATCCCCTTTATTCCCATCCTTACTCCTGCACTGAAGTCCTTATCTTTGGCATGCAGAGCCCTCTTTAATTCTTGCCTTCTTGGCTTTCATCACACAGCTCCCTGCCGTGCAGGATATAACTGACAGTCACTGGCCTTTGTGGTTGCAGGTCAGGAAATGCAGACGAAGACCAGTGACATGGCTGCAGCTGAAAAGCATTCAGAACAAGAGCCTAGACACCTGGGTGAAGACATTGCCCATATTCCTGTATATGAGCAGGAGAGCAGGTTACAAAGAAAGCAGAAAAGTGCCACAGGGAATAGGAGGCACATTTGCCAGGAATGTGGAAAGAGTTTTGCTCAGAGTTCAGGCCTGAGTAAGCACAAGAGAATCCACACTGGAGAAAAACCCTACGAGTGTGAGGAGTGCAGAAAAGCCTTCATTGGGAGCTCTGCCCTCATCACTCATCAGCGCGTTCACACTGGTGAGAAGCCATACGAGTGTAAAGAGTGTGGCAAGGCCTTCAGTCACAGCTCAGACCTCATCAAACACCAGAGAACCCACACTGGGGAGAAGCCCTATGAGTGCGATGACTGCGGGAAAACCTTCAGCCAGAGCTGCAGCCTCCTTGAGCATCACAAAATTCACACCGGGGAGAAGCCATACCCATGCATCATGTGTGGCAAAGCCTTTAGGCGTAGTTCACACCTCCGGAGACATCAGAGGATCCATACTGGAGCTAAAAATGTTCGGGAGCCTGACTGGGAAGGTCAAGGTAGAATGGAAAGCCAGTGGGAAAATACTGAAACACCTGTGTCTTATAAATGTAATGAGTGTGAGAGAAGTTTCGCTCAGAATACAGGCCTTATTGAACATCTAAAAATCCACACTGGTGAGAAACCCTACCAGTGTGACACATGTGGAAAAGGCTTTGCTCGAACCTCATACCTGGTTCAACATCAGCGAAGCCACACTGGGAAAAGAATTCTGTCACAGTGACCTGTGCCATACATGACAGAGTTGGTGCTCTTTGTCATTGACATGAAGCCACCACAGATCCCTTCCTGGCCACAGATGCTGTGAGCTCAACCTTACTGATTCACATCATCATGTATTAAAAGCTAGAATCTGAGATAAATGATCTGTGTTCTACAGAGAAGGTGTTGACAGAGTTGTCTGGAAGAGACAGAACTGGAAGTGTTTTCTTCTCCCCCATCAGAATTAAGTGGGCTTCCAGATTGGTTACTTCCCTCAAGTTCTAGATTCTGAGTCAATCCCGTGCTCTTCTTACCAAGTAAATAGGCTTGCCAGAGCATGGGTGACAGTGAGGTTACTGTGATAAAGAGAGTCCATATTTCTGGGCTGGGAATGTGGCTTAATGGTAGAGTGCTTGCCTAGCATGCATGAAGCCATGGGTGTGATTCCTCAGTACCACATAAACAAAAAAAGCTGCAAGTGGCACTGTGGCTCAAGTGGTAGAGTGCTAGCCTTGAACAAAAGCAGCTCAGGGACAGTGGCTAGGTCCTGAGCTCAAGACTGATGTCTGGCAAAAAAAAAAAAAAAAGAATCCATATTTCTTTACCTAAGACTTCTAGTGAGAAATGCCTTAAACAGCTTCTTATTTTTACTAAATCATTCTGAATGGAATTCCATGCTTTCTTATTTTCTTTCTGACACTAATTTTGCTATTCTTGAGAAAACTTTTCTATTCAGGTAGTGTGAAAATTAGTGATCAGATCAGAATAAAATGATAAACTTTCCAAAACTTACCATCTGGGTTCTTGAGTTGTAGTTATCATTGGCATACCCCAAATCTCAAAGCTGTAAAAACTATTTTGCCTCCACCCTGCTACTGTCATGACCACAGCCTAGTTGTCCTAGGATAGTGGGAGAGGTTTCAGAAAGACTGGAGAAAATACCTGAAACAGTATTTGAGACATGAGGCTCATTCATGCATACCAACAAGGGAAGTCCATGAGGAATGAATGAGGTCCAACATCACTAAGTGAAAGATTCAGTCAGTGGCTGGACAAAAGCACTTATCTTTTTTTTTTTTTTTTGTCGGTCGTGGGGCCTGAACTCTGGGCCTGGGCGCTGTCCCTCAGATCTTCAGCTCAAGGCCAGCGCTCTACCACTTGAGCTACAGTGCCACTTCCGGTTTTCTGGTGGTTTATTGGAGATAGGAGTCTCATGGTCTCTCCTGCCCGGGCTGGCTTTGAACCGCGATCCTCAGATCTCAGCCTCCTGAGTAGCTAGGATTACAGGCGTGAGCCACCAGCGCCCGGCTCAAAAGCACTTATCTTTTCCACAGTATTCTGTTCTATACTTCCTACAGAAGGCAGAAGCGTTTTATATGTTAGATTACAAAAACATCGACATTAACTTGCTATATCCTTGTATGATCAAATATAGTGACAGTATATGTGCAGTAATACAGCCTCCCTTTGTAGGTAGCACTAGTTTGCCCAGCTTCCAGTGTGCCTGTGGAAGTTTATCCGAAATATTCTGGTTTTGCTCACTCTCAATCTCACTTGGTACGAGGTTTGGAAATAGAAAGGGACATTTCTGAGACATATTTTTCGCCCTTTGCTCAGTGGTTTTTCACCTGCCAAGGCATTCGACATAGCAAACTGCATAAAACCTATCCCTGCTAAACTCACACGTTCCCCAGGCAGGTGAATTCACACCAAATGTTTTCAACAAGTATTACTTTTGGTTTGAAACTTGATTAACGTGCAGTCGTGGTCTTCAAATTATTTGACTCCAAAAACCATGTGTGGGGCTGGACACACTGCTCAGCTAGTACAGTGCCTATCAAGTCATGTGTGTGCTAGCAGCTCCTTAATTATTCACAATGAGAACTTCAGCCATTAAGTTAACTTCTCAGGTTATCTGCTTTAAACATACTTTGCTAAATCATCTTTTTTTTTTGTTTTCTGTTTTACCTCCTCATAGTAAAAATTTTAGTCCTGTGAATTTAAGTGAGAAATTTTTTGTTTAAAGCCAGCTCTGTATAAGTAATGTGTATTTCAATAGTTTCCACAAAAGTTTCAGAGTGACCACTTTCTCTTCTTTTGGAGTGGAGGCAGTCCTGGGACTTGAACTCAGGATCTGGATGCTGTCCTTGATTTTTCTTTCACTCAAGGCTAATGTTCTGCCACTTGACCCATGGTTCCACTTCCAGCTTTTGGTGGTTAACTGAAGAGCCTCATGGACTTCCCTGCCTAGGTTGGATTTGAACCAGGATCCTCAGATCTCAACCTCCTGAGCTAGGATACAAATGTGAGCCACCAGTGCCCAGCAGGGTATTACTTATATTAACATGTTTTCATTTTTGCAGTTAATGTTTCTCGCTTGATTTTTGACACCAGTGATATTCTGTATTTGTAATATCTATACGATTCTGGAATTAGGATGCAGCAAGGTTTTCTTTTGACATTTAATAATTTAACACTTCATAATGCATTTTCTGTTGTAACAATCTTCTATTATATGTACTTTGTTAGGAATTGAGTGGGCATCCAAAATTTCAGCAAATTTATACAAGCCTCTTTTCATGCCAGTTTCAAAGCCTGCTACTTCAGTTTTTCAGGGATCTAATGGACACAAATTTTACATCCTAGTGATATGATTTATGTTACAGCAATAAACCATATTGTCATTTTGTGTGAATTCTTAAACTGATTAAAAATTTGTTGCATGATTTTTGCTTTCTGAACATATAATAGGATTCTGCAAAGAAACAATCAGTATAATTAATGCATGTGTGTGTATGTACCTACATGTTGGTAATAATATCTATTTATCACTGGGTCATGTGATTATAGAGACATTCTTAATTAAACTAAAAGACCCAGGAAAGCCAATGATGTGGTGAGTTCTAGTCCAAAAGTCAACAGGCTAGAGACCTAAAAGCCATAGTTTTAGTTTGAGTCCCAAGGTTAGGAAAACCGATGTCCGAGCTCAATGGCATTAGGCAAGATGAATAGTCTTTGAGAGAAGGGCAGGTCTTCAATTGATTGAATGCTGCAACTCAACAATGTGCTTCAGATTTAAATGTTAATCTTCAAACCAATTTTACAGGCATAATCAGAATAATGTTTGACAATATGTCTGGGCACCCTGTGACCCATCAAAGTTGACATATAAAATTAACCAGCTGGGCGCTGGTGGCTCACGCCTGTAATCCTAGCTACTCAGGAGGCTGAGATCTGAGGATTGCGGTTCAAAGCCAGCCTGGGCAAGAAAGTCCGTGAGACTCCTATCTCCAATAAACCACCAGAAAACCAGAAGTGGCGCTGTAGCTCAAGTGGTAGAGCGCTTGCCTTGAGTTGAAGAGCTGAGGGACAGCTCCCAGGCCCAGAGTTCAAGCCCTATGACCGACCAAAAAAAAAAATTAACCATTACAATACTGTAATTTCAAGCATTAACTAAATTACTAAAACTTTTCATCATGCTCCCACTTTTTGTTTCCTCAAATAACTTTATAAAAGGGCTTTAGTTTCACATGTCATTTTATATCTATCTTCAATATAGTCAAGAACATGTACAACCTAAAGATGACAGTTCTTTCATCTGGCAGTAATAGCCTGTAGATCAAGCTAGAGAAAGCTGGGGAACAGGAGATGTAACTGGTTTACCAATGTCGAGAATATCCTCAGCATCTAGCACAGTTCATGTTGAATGAATAATAAACTGGCTTACTAGGGTTTCATGTTAATGGTTGGTGTTCTTCCATTTAAGCCATGCCTCCAGCCCTGCTTTATTTTTGTGTCCATCATGGGGCTTGAACTCAATGCCTTGGGTGCTATCCCTGAGCTTTTTTGCTGAAGGCTAGCTCTTTACCACTTGAATTACAGCTCTACTTCTAGCTTTTTGTTGTTGGTGGTGGTCCTGGGGCTTGAGCCCTGTCTCTGAGCTTCTTTTGTTCAAGGTAAGTGCTCTACCACTTGAGCCACAGTGCCACTTCTGGCTTTTTTGAGTAGTTTATTTGTAAATTAAAGTCTCATGGACTTTCTTGCACAAGATGGCTTTGAACCATGATCCTCAGGTCTCAGCCTCATAAGTAGGCAGGATTACAAGCATGAGCAATTGGTGCCCAGTTCTTTTTTTTTTTTTTTTGGTCCGGTCGTGGGGCCTGACCTCTGGGCCTGGGCGGTCCCTCAGTTCTTCAGCTCAAGGCTAGAGCTCTACCACTTGAGCCACAGTGCCACTTCCGACTTTTTTCTTTTTGCTTATGTGGTGCTGAAGAATCGAACCCAGGGCCTCAGGCATGCAAGGCAAGCGCTCTACCACTGAGCTACCTTCCCAGCCCTTGGTGCCCAGTTCTGATGGATATTTTTTAAAGTGTTAATAGTTCTTCATCTTTGCTGATTTTCTGTCTAGCAATTCTACAGATTACATGTAATTTCCAGTTCAAGGTCTGCTAAAACAATATTAAAATAATATCCAAAAGACCATAATGTCCACATCTTTTTAAATCCAGGAAACAAACAAAAAAAACCTACTCCTATTTCAGTAAGTCTGAGAATCTTCACTTGAAAGTGAAGGAATAAGTAGACACCAACACCAAGAACACAGATACTGGAATTATTTTACAAAGATTTTAAAGCAATCATAAAAATGCTTCAGGGTCCATTTAGGAAAATCTTGATATGAAAGTATCAGAAAAAAATGGAGTCTAAAATTTGAGGGTGTAGTTAAAATTTTAGAACTGAAAAATCAGCTGAAATAAGTTCCTAGGTAAATTCAACTTCAGCATTACTGAATTAAGGCTTTCCTAGCAGTCAATTTACGTCTCTACTGACACTACATGACATGAGGCCAAACAAATTAAAATTACCAAGGAAATTCACCTGCGTCTTTCCTGGGTCCCTAGCTGCTGTCTTCTCATCAACCTTCAGAATTTTGTTTTACATAATTTCTAGGGCTTTATTGTACTTAGCAGGAATTTATCTGCTGTATATTGTTAGGAACTAGATGTCCATTCATTATGCTTTCATTTGGTTGTATCTTTATGTCTCTAATAACAATACCTAAAATAAATAGTTCCTGGTCCATAAATATGTGTTGCATTAATGGACCAGAAACTAATATTGTGTAGTTGCTAAAATGATAGTAATTGCTGTAATGTGTTGATGGATTTTTATAGTAGTCATATTACCAGATAAGAGTGGCTAAATCTGTCTATTTTTGTTCAGTTGATAAAAACTAGCAAAATAAATCAGCTGCTATATCATAAAACCTTTTTAGGGCACAAAATTTCAAAAAACAGGCTGTTGAGGGAAAATATTTCTAGGATGAAAACTCTCCTATTTCTAAGGACCATTTATACCTAAAATGACTAATTTGTGCAGAATTTTGGTGTGGGTAAAATTCAAA